TGACTGATGAGATGGAACAGCTTTTTACACATTTGTTGGCCATATGGGTATCCTTTACTGGGAAAAGTCTCTTGCCCCTTTTCCCATTCAGTTGATTCTCTTTGTCTTATTGACGTATCAGAGTTCTTTATAGATGCCTGATACGAAAACTTTGTCAGTTATATGTATTACAAATATCTTCTCCCTTTCTGTGCTTGCCTGTGGTATAAAATATGTGATGATCTAAATACATGACACCAATAGCACTGAGCAGTGGAAGATAAAGAGAGCTAACGTGATCGGAGGTCCTTGCATTGTCCAGGAAGTGGTTAAGAGGTCACTTAGAATCTAATAAGGCAGGGATGTAAATGACAAAACTCTATGGTAATCACGAAAAGAAAAATAAAAGAATGTATAACTTACAAGTTATAGATGGGAAAATGGAATGATAAAAATATTTGATTAATCTGACAGAAGGCAAGAAAAGAGAAAGAATAGGCATAAAATTGGTAGGGCAAACAGAAAATAAAGAGTAAGACAGATTTACAACCAAACATATCAGTAATTACAAAAAAAAATATAAAGACTGAAAATAAAGGGATGGAAAATATAGAAAAATTTGAACTAAAAGAGAGCTAGGGCTTTAATTTTAATATCAGGTAAAATAGATACAGATATAAGAGACAAAGAAGAACAATGTATACGTCAATAAAACAACAGATGAAGAAGATATGCTGCTGATGGATTTTCCTCCCCCCGACAAAATAGCCTCAGAATATATAAAGCAATATATAAAGCAAAGAACCATGGGGAGACATAGTTAAATCATTAATTGTAGCTGGAGATTTAAACACACTCATCTTAAAAACTAATATATCAAATTGGCAAAAAATAAGCAAAACTATAGATTTGAATACAGAATTAATAAGGTCAACTCAATACAGGTTTATTCAAACCTTACACTCAACAAATAAAAAATGTATTTTCTTTTGTAGCATACTTGCAACATGCACAAAAATTTGTGACTAGGCCACAAAGGAACCTTTAATAAATTTCAACATCATACAAATAGTTTCTGTTCATAATGCGATAAAATTTGCATATCAATGAAAACAAAATATCTTGAAAAATCCCATATATCTGGAAGTTAACAAACATATCACTGAATAACCTTTGGGCTAAAGAACAATGAACTTGATATCAGTGATAATGCTTCATGTTAAAACTTGTGGGGTACAGTTAAAGCAAGGAGCCCTGGTGGCATGGTGGTTAAGTTCTTGGCTGCTAACTCAAGGGTCAGTGGTTCCAACCCACTCAGACCTGGAGATCTGCTCCCATAAAGATTACAGCCTAGGAAACTCTATGGGGCAGTTCTACTCTGTTCTATAGGTTCGCTATGAGTTGGAAGTGACTAGACAGCACACAATAATAGGTAAAGTAGGACTTAGAGGGAAGTATTGAAGAATATCTTTGAGACATTTGGGTGGGAAAGACTTTCTAGATAAATCCATAAAGCATAAAGTGAAAATTAATGAATTTGACTCTAACAAAACTAAGAATTTCTATGCAATGAAGAACATCATAGACAAAACTAATAAGTGGGCAATGAATATAAGAATATATTTGCAACATCAGTAACATTAAATACAAAAATCTTGATTATCTATAAGGAAAGTTCAGGGAACCCCAAAACAAAAATGAGAATGAATACAAACAAGAGTTTCAGAGAGGTACTCAAACTCACTAATAAGAGAAATGTAAATAATATGTAAAAATAATTAGATAGTGAGAATGGTTGCCCAACTAGAAGAATATAATCAATGTCACTGAATTATACATGTAGAAATTGTCATACTGCTGTATGTCTTGTTGTGTCTGTTTTCACCACAGTAAATAATAACAATAATTAGATAGCACCTTCCACCACCCATCTGTCATACTCTGGTAGTTTGTGTGTTGCTATGATGCTGGAAGCTATGCCACCAATATTTCAAATACCATCAAGTTCACCCATTGTAGACAGGTTTCAGGGGAGCTTCCAGACTAAAACAGATGAGGAAGAAAGGCTGGCGATCTACTTCCAAAAATAGCCAATGAAAACCTTATGGATCACAACAGAACACTGACTGACTCACTTGCTTTGGACACAAGTCCCAAAATCACCACTAATCAGGGGTGATTAGTCTCTAGAGGAAGACATCACGTTTGATGAAGTGGAGGGCCACCGAGGGTGAGGAAGACCCTTGATAAGGTGGACGGGTACACAGCCACAATGATGGTCTTGAACCTGCCAGTGATTGTGAGGAAGACACAGGACTGGGCAACCTTTGGTTCTGTCGTACGTAAGGTCGCCATGAGTCGGAGTTGACTTGATGGCAGCTATACGACAACAACCACCACCACCTGTGTAGATAGCACATTATGCCTAAAAGGTTGGCAATGAGTAGAAAGACTGACAATGCCAAACATTGCTGGGGATATGAGAAAACAGAAACGCACTTGCCCTGCTAGTGGAGGTGCAGACTAGACTAGTGTAGCAATCGGCCAGTGCCTGGTGACCCTACAGTGCGTACATACCCCATGACCAAGCAATCCCACTCCTGGAGTATAAACCTCTGAAAAAAATCTCACCCAGCTACATAAGTGGACCTGCACAAGGATGTTCACGGCAGTGCTGCTGTGATACAGAGAGTCAGAGACAACGTGAATGGCCACTGCGAGGAGAACAGAGAAGCAAAACGTGGCAAGTGCATTCTATGGAGCGCTACAAAGCAGCCAGCAGCAAGAAACTTGGGGTTAAAGACAGTGCTGAATGGGAAAAAGTGAGGAACAGAATTAGACACACGCTACAAATGTATGCAAATGCAAGACACATAAATATATAAAGCAATACTGTTATTCAGTGGAGCCCTGGTGGCATAGCGGTCAAGAGCTCGGCTGCTAACCAAAAGACCAGCGGTTTGAATCCACCAGCCGCTCCTTGGAATCTCTATGGGGCAGTTCTACTCCGTCCTATAGGGTTGCTATGAATTGGAATCGACTTGACAGCACCCAGCAACAATAACAATCTGTTATTGAGAGACACATATTCAAAGGCATAAACCAAAGTCATTAAAATAGATACGTATGATGTCTGGGGGGAGAATAAGAACGAAGACGAGAGACAAAGGGCAGAAACTAAATAATGCATACAGGAAGTCTTCCATGGACTGACAAACTCTCTACACTGATGTCTAAGAGACCTCAAGTAAAATAAATTAACAAGGTGGGAATTATGATCGGACATTTACAGAAAATCTTTACCAGCATCAGTCCTTCCCAGTTTCCATGCATATGGAAGCATCAGGTGTGCTCCCTCAGGGCTGTGGTAGGCTGAATACCCAAAAAAACCCCAAACCAGTCGCTATCGAGCTGATTCAGACTCATGGCGACCCCATGTGTGTCAGAGTAGAACTGTGCTCCAGAGGTTTTCAGCGGCTGTGATCGTTCAGAAGTAGCTCATCATGCCTTTCTTTCGAGGCACCTTTGGGTAGATTCAAACTGCCAACCATACGGTTAATAACCAAGTGCTTATGATGCCCAAATATGTCCAGGTCCTAACTCCTAGAACCTGTGGATTTGCCTTATATGGCAAAAGGGACTTTGCAGATGTGATTAAGGGTCTTGAGATGGGGAAATTAACCTGGATTATCCAGGTGAGCCTAAATGTAATCACAAGCACCCTCATAAGAGGGAAGCAGACGGAGATTTTACTACAGAAGAGGAGAGGGCAATGCAATGACAGAAGTAGAGACTGAAGCGGTGCTGCCACAAGCCAAGGAATGCTGGCAGGCACCAGATGCTGGAAGAGGCGAGGAATTCTCCCTGGAGCCTCCAGAAGAAACCGGTCCTGACGACACCTTGGTTTTAGTCCCACAAGACTCATTTCGGATTTCTGGCCTCCAGAAGCATAAGAGAATGAATTTCTGTTGTTGTAAGCCACTAAGTTTGTGGTGATTTGTTACAGCAGCAATAGGAGATAAATACAGGGCCCTTCCCTAACACCTTTCTCAGAGTGATTCCACTGTGTCTCTGAGACCTCCTCCTGGGAATCAACCTACGCATGCAGGCTGGTTAAGGAGGTAAACGGAATTTGTTCGGTTTTGGCTAAGGGCAGCCTTTAGGTCTACTGCGGATTCTGTCTCGTCTAGAATAGTCCATGCTCCCACCCCTCCCCCAACACATACAGTAAACCCATCCTTCCAAAGAGCATGGACATGGCCCTGCTAATGGTACTGTCACCCCAATACTCTGGGGAACTGGCTTAGGGTTGGCCTTTAGAGGCATAACCACCTAAGACCCGTGTCCTCCTCCCTGCATGCTTCAAGCATTTACATCTCTTCCCAAACAAAAAAAAAAAGCCAAACCCATTGCCGTCTAGTCGATTCTGACTCACAGTGACCCTATAGGACAGAGTAGAACTGCCCTAGAGAGTTTCCAAGGAGCGCCTCGTGGATTTGAATTCCTGACCTTCTGGTTAGTAGCTGTAGCTCTTAACCACTACACCACCAGGGTTTCCATATCCCTTCCAGCTGGGTTTATTTGGTGTATGTAGAGTGGGGAGAGAAACAAAGAAAACCCCTCTCATCACTGTGGATTTGGAGGTGTTGAAGATCTTTTCCTTTGAGGCTCTCATCATCAAATCAATCTATTGAAGCATTTTAGACTGGAGCAGTAGGGGGATAAAAGAAGGGAGGAAAAAGAGAAGGGCATGGGTGGGGGTGCTGAGCAGGCAGAAAGAAAGTCTAGAGAATGAGATGAGAGTGCCAGGACCCGGAGAACACTGCACATTTAGTGACAAGCATCCCTCATGTATGGCTTGGTTCAGCTGCTCTGACATGACTGTGCTCCTCTCTGACTTCTGGACAACAGCCATGGGCTGGAAAGGACCCCACAGAGAAGGTCCTCTCGCCTGAAGACAGAGTCTACTGGCAGAGAACCTCCAGCCATCCCGTACGCAAAGTCCTAAACTCGACACTTACCGTGCCCATGACAGTTTGAGCTGCGCCTGGATTTCAATCCATTCCTCCTTTATGATCCTTCCACACTGCAGCAGCTCCTTTGTGAGTCTCTCTGCTTTGGCCAGATTCTCTGAAGCTTCCTTAAACCTGAGCTGTGTTCAGGAAAGCTCACACTGGCTTCCAGATCCCGAAAGCCCCGTCCCTAGACTTTCTCGGCTCACCCTTCCTAAGTCACTAATCAACTTTTTTTATTAGGCCTTGGGAATGAAATCGAAGGTTATAAAGATGAGCGATAAAAGGATACTTTTGAAGTGAGATTAAGGCTCTCCCCATGGTGTGAAAAAGCTCAACCGAACACTTGAAAACATCTGTATTGTCATTATAGGGAGGCTCAATGGAGTTGGTGAGAATTTCTTGGGCTTTTTCTACATGTTGTTTTGCTTGCAACGACAGCCCTGTGAACAAAGAAAAAGAGGCCTCAGTTTCTCTTTCACGTCAGCTGGCTAGGAATATAGTTGTTTATGGACAGGAGTCTAGTGAAACCCCTTCCGGCGTCATCCCGCGGGGTGTGGAGATGTATCTTAGCGGCACATCCGGCGTCTCCACGTGAGGCAGGTGCAGCAACAAGATGATAATCAGTTTACCTAAAAATATCATCACGACTTAAGAAACAAAGACATGTTTTACAATGAGTACTCAAGATTCATTTTCCAAAAATGGTCCTTTGAGACATAAAATCAACAGAACAGGCTGGAACTGAACAGCTTCGAAACCTCACCAGTGTCAGACATACAATATGTTATAATTGTAAAAAACAAAACAAATAGAATACAAGGACTATAGCATTCTGAGCAGAAAAGAAAATACTCATGAATTTTAATGCTGGCTTTGTGACAGCAATCTTAATGAAATGGTAAAAAGGTTTAATCTTCTGTTCACCCATCTAAAATCATAGCTTTACAGGGCTATTTTAATGTGATAATACGAACATCATGATACCTACAAAAAAGTACAAACACAATTCCCAGGAGGTAACACACTAATGTGTGACAATCTTATTCCTGTGTGGTAAAAGACTAAGCACGAAACAAACCAGAGCAAAAAATTACTACTCAGAACGGGGAATTAAGGCGTCCCAGCGTTCTGTCAGTGGAGGTTTTCATGTTGCTATGATGCTAAATAGCTTTCAGCAGAGCTTCCAGACTAGGACAGACTAGGAAGAAAGGCCTGATGATCTACTTCTGAAAATCAGCCAATGAAAGCCCAATGGATCACAATGGTCTGATCTGCCACCCTGGGGATGGTGCCGGACTGAGCAGTATTTCATTCCATTGTGCAAGGGGTTGCTGTGAGTCAGGGGCCGACTCAATAGCAGCTAAGAACAAGTGTTCTTCCACAGGCTTGTTGATTTGTGGTAAGAGTGACGCTGGGCATCACTGGCTTTGTTTCAGGGCTTTTCACTGCCCCACATGCCCACCCTCCTTCCCATTAACATCCCCTTCCTCATACCCTTACACCCATGTTCATACTCCTAGTCTCATGTTCTTAATTACCAGGAATTGTATCTCCAATCTCTAAAAAAGCTGCCAAAATATGAAATTAATTCTGCTCCTATGTCAATACAACCAGAAGAATATGTCTTCAATGAAGAAAACCAAGTATAGGCTATTTGTGTGAGAACTTTTACAAAATTTCATTTGTCTTATTATTTTTTTTATAGTCACATATCAAAGCAACCTACCAGACGTTTACTAGTGCCAATTATGCGTGCAACATTACAAAAGGCATGGTGGACTGTATTTTTGACTGTGACCCATGCCCTCAAGGAACTTGGACTCAACCTACAGCATCATGTAAGGTTTAAGAACACCAGCTCTGAAGGCAAACGGCCCAGACTGAATTCCCTGCTCCATCCCTTAGATGAAATATTGGCCTCAGCTTCTTCAGCTGTAAGTGGGGACAATCATATTACCCACCTCACAGAATGGTGGGGAAGATGAAATGAGATTATGTGTGAAAAAGTTAGCAAGGTGCCTGGCACTCCATAAGATCTTAGTAAATATTAGACTTTTTAAAACTTTAAATTGAGAAATAAGAATTGACATACAGAAAGGCAGCAGGCTACGGACAAAAGTCGTCACTTGAAATCCCAGATGCCAGGACACTGGTACTAGCATTGGCAATCCTAGGCCTGGGTCTTAACATCAGCTATTTATTAACAGTGTGATCTGGGGTGAGTTGTTTCAACTCAAAGTCAGTGTTCCCTCTGATTTTGAACGGGGGGATGGAGTTGGAAGTATATGAACTCCAAGGTCCCCTCTGGCTCTAACAGCCTTTGATTCTAACAAGTAGGATCAGTCTATAATCAGACTCGGCCAAATTTTGGGTGGCAATTCTATTCTTGGCATTGTTGCATATTTTATATCTATTATCTTATTTATTCAGTGGAACAATCCTGGAGAGTTAGTCCCACCATCATCATTCTCATCAATTTTCAGTTGAAGAAACTGAGTACAGAGAGGCAGCCTCTTGTCCTGGGCTGCACAGTTAGTGAGTAAGAAGATATGGTATCCTGGTTGTCTGCTGATTCTACTTCCCCATATTCACTCTCCCTTCTGTTTTCCTTTAGGGACATCACAAGGATTTGGCTGAGGCCAGCCTCTCCCCTAGGATCCAGTGGAGTCCAAAGGCAGGTCTAGCCAATCAGACCTTGGCATATAACCCAAGTAGGTCCCATTAGAACCCCCTGATCCTGGGGTTTCTGTTGAGGGGACATTCTTTTTCTCTCGGGAATGCTGTGGAGGTAAGCCTAAAGCTGTTGGCAGCCTCTCTGCTGCCATGTGGGCAAAGCCTGCCTAAGAATGGAACCAATACAGAGAAAAACAGCCAAGAGGTGAGAAAAGAGAGACACTGGATCCCGATCACATTGTTTAAACACCCGGATTTGGTTAAGTCTAAAGCAAGTTATACCCTTGGACTCTTTAGCTGTATGAGTCAGTGAATTCCCTTTTTGTTTATGCCTTTTATTTGTCTGGTCACCTGTAGTTAAGGGAGTCTTGATCAACACAAATATGAACGGACCCCATTCTAGGCGCCTACAGCATTCCCTGGGCTCTTCCCACAATGCCTTCAGAGCTAACAGATTAATTCTCTCCTAAGAACCCTGCTTTTAAGATTATAAAAAGCAAAACTCAGAAGGGATAAAATCTCTTTCCTTTTTTCCTTCTGAATATTTACATATTACATACCCTATTGACTATTTCTGAAAGGAAATGATTTCTCGATGTTTAGAGAGGAGAAAATCCAAGAAAACTTGATCCTTTAATTAAGTGTGAATGAAATTTTGGGAAAAGATCAGAAAACAAATGACTGACCCTCCACCCTCTCCGTCTGAGACAAGTTCACCTTTCAGCTGGAGGTAGCCTTGAGCCAGATTAACATATGCTTCTGCTAGTTTCCAATGCGAGTCGCCATAGCAAATTCTTGTCAGCGCTACACAACGCACGAGCTCCTGGATAGCCTGTTTGTACTGTTAGGATGAAAGCATGAGGTTAACACTAAAATAACTTATTAAGAGTCATAAATCATAAAATCAAATTGTACTTTCATCCATGCCATAAATATTTATAGAGTGTCTACTATGTGCTAGGCCTGGTTCTAAGCATTTGGGAAACATCAGAAGACAAAAAAGACTAAGATCAGTATCGCTGCCATCAGAAAAGTTATATGCTGGTTGGGTGAAATCTACAATACACAAAAAAATCAGTAAATTCTAGAGTACATTTGGAGCCCTGGTGGTGTAGTGGTTAAGAGCCACAACTGGTAGCCAAAAGGTTGGCAGTTCGAATCCACCAGCTGCTCCTTGGAAACCCTATGGGGCAGTTCTACTCTGTCCTGTAGGGTTGCTATGAGTCGGAATTGACTCGATAGCAATGGGTTTGGTTTAATGGGTTTAGAGTGCATTTAGAGGAGTCCCTGGGTGGTGCAAAAACAGTTAAGCACTCAGCTACTAACTGAAAGGTTGAAGGTTTGAATCCATCCAGAGGCACCTTTGAAGAAAGGCCTGATGATCTACTTTTGAAGGATCACACTAAAAATCTTATGGAGCACAGTTCTACTCTGACACACAGAGTAGAACACAAGGAGTTGACTCAATGGCAACTGGTTTGGTTTTGGTTTGGTATCGCGCACTTAAAGGTGAAAAATGTAATGGAATGAAGAAGAAAACACAAAAAGCAGAGCAGACGTTAATCATCCCCTGGGTTTTCCAGCTGCCCATCAATGAACAGCTACTATATATTCAGGCACAATAAATGGGCAAATGGTAATGGTTTCCAAATACATTTTAGTCCTCAATTCAAATACTTTTATTAGCAGCCTATGATATTACTGCAGGAAATTACTTGAGCAGAACTGACAACAACATTTCATTAAAGGAGTGAGAAGCACTTTTTCATTTGGGCACTGACAAAGAGAATAGGGAACTGGAAATTTCCAGCTTCCAGGTCAGCTCAGAGCAGTAATATACTCCAAGCAAGTGTCGGAATTTTAAAACACAGCTCCAAAATTCTTTGACACTCCTTCTATCCAGAGATGGGGGTCTGTGTCCCCTTCCTTTGAATTTGGCCTTTATGTTTGACCAATAGAAGATGGAAGAAGTGATGCTGTGCCTGTTTGGGGGCCCAGGTCTTAAGAAACTGGCAGCTTCCACTTTCTGTCTCTTGAATGCTCATTCTTGGAACCCTACACCATGCTGTAAGGAAGCCTAGGCTCCCCCATGGAGAGGTCCACTTGGAAAAGAACCAACAGCCAACACCAACTAGTCAACCATATGAGTGCCCCACCTTGACAATAGACTCTCCACTGCCCAGCTGATGCTGCGTGGAGCACAGCTGATCAGACCCCACTGAGCTCTGTGTAGACTGCAGGTTCGTGGACAAAAGGAGTAACTGTTTTTGTTTTAAGCCACTAAGTTGTGGGGTGTTTGTTATGTAGCAATAGATAACCAGAACAGTAAGAGAGGAAGTAAGAGAGCTGATTAAAGATGGCTGAAGGGGGCAAAGCAAAGGAAGAAAAGTAAGAAGGACACAGTTGTGGAGATGATCCAGAAGGCCTTGGGATGCACTCCAATCGATACCTAAGCTCAAAGTGCCTACGTTTCCAAACAGTTCACATGTGGACTAGAAACACTTCTATCTTGAAACAACATTCTTCTTGACAAAAATACACAGCCAGACAGTTGACAAGAGAGTCACTTTTCTGGCAATTTTAGGGATTAAATGTCCTATAAAGGACATTATTGGGATAATTGTGGAAATCTGGATAAGATTTGAAGATTGGATAAAGTACTGTACCAACACTAATTTCCTAATTTCAGTCATTGGCCTGTGGTTATATAGAAGAATGTCCTTATTCTTAGGAAGTGTACACTGAAGAATTAGAGGAAAGGATCATAGTATCTGTAACTTACTCTCAGTCAGTTCAGAAAAATAATTAAACAGAGGGAGGAAGGGAGGGAGAGAAATAAAGCAAATATTAACAGTTGGTGAATCCTGTAACTTTTCTCTAAGTTTAAAACTATTTTAAAATAAAAAATTACCAAAAAATGGATATCTTAAAAAATAAATTACATCATGTTAATATCGTCATGAAAATAGTTTTAAGGCTTCCAAGGGCACTTAGCTTGAAACCCGGACTCCTCACCACAGTCTGCAAGGCCCTATGAGATCCAATTGCGTCTTCAGTCGCACTTCATGTCAGCCCACAGGCTTCATCTCTGGGCTTCAAACACGCCAAGCTCATGTCTATCCTACAGATTTTATGCGTGCTGTTTCCTCTACCCAGGACCCTTTTTCCTGAGCCCCTCCAGCTGTCTCCTTCTCGCCTTCAGGTCTCAGCTCATATATCACCTCCTCCCAGACGCCCCCTGTGGTTTGATGAACTACTTAGTATGGCCTTTCTTGCCAGGGTCTTGTAACTTCCACCTAGGTGATTGGGTGGGGCTGTGCAAATAAGGTAATTGTGGCCCACCAAGGGGATTGGTTAGTTTTGCCTTAAAAGAGAGCCAATTCCAGAGCAGAAAGGAGAGCCCACCACCACCAAGGAGGAGAGACCAGCAGGAGAGCCCTGCAGGAGATGGTGCGGTGGGCTTCCCGGCCCACAGAGCAAGAAAGCTGAGTGCCTGTGGGCAGAGACAGAGGGCCAGGGAGAAGCCTACACCTGACCCATGAATTTGGGACTTGCCAGCCTCTACACCTGTGTGAGCCATTTCCTTCATATGGTTTGTTGTGAGTTCTGAGAGATGTTGCAGTGAATCAGGGAACCCAAAGACGGGAGGCAGAGTACTGAGGGGAGAGGGACTAGTTGATGTTAGAGATAATGGAGTGGTACAGCAGCTTGGAAAAGTTGGACATTTGGGACATCTTTAACCTCTGCCTCATAGGAACCAGCTTTGTGCTAATCCTTCTAAAAGAAATGATCTGTTTATCCTCCCTGACCACACTGCCCAAGGTTGGCCCACTCTGCTTCCTCCAGAGCACTGATCACCACCTCTAATTGCCTGGTTCATTCACCATACCTACTGCCCCTCAGCTCCATGGGCTGTCCTGCTCACTGCTATATCCTGGGTGCCTCATCTGAACCACAGAACACAAAAAATGATTTGGGATCATTCTAGATACACAGAAAAGAGTTCATTCTTCACAGATACTAAATGCCTTCGGGCTTTAAGGCTTAATTCTCTTGCAGAACTCTGGCTGAGAAATGCTGCCAGCCCACAGCCTGCCTAACACAAGCCTGGCACATAGTAGGTACTGAATTAACATTTGTTGTGTAATGAATAAACACACATTCAAAACATTCAAAAACACAGCACCCCTCTCCAGAGTCCTGCTCCTCCTCCTGTATTCAGAACATTGAGGAGGGGCACCGTCAAGCCTCCAGTCATCCAGGATTGTAAAGGCTCCCCCGTCTCACTCTCATTCCTCTATCCCCTACGTCCCAACGTCACCACATCCCACTGATTAAAAAACGAAACCAAACCCATTGCCGTCGAGTCAATTCCAACTCATAGTGACCCTATAGGACAGAGTAGAACTGCCCCAAAGGGTTTCTAAGGAGCAGGTGGTGGATTCGAACCGCGAACCTTTTGGTTAACAGCTGAGTTCTTAATGACTGCATCACCAGGGCTCCATGATTAGCACTTTTAAATTCCTTCCAAAAGATCTCAGCATCTCTCCTGCTTCTGCCGCAGTTCAGGCTCTCATCATTTCTTGCCAGGATTATTATAAATATCCTCCAAACTGGTCCTTCTGCCTCCAGTTCTGCTCTCTTCTCGCCCCTCCCCACAGTTATTTGAGTGATCTTTCCTAAAATGCAAATCTGCTCACAGCACTCTCATGCAGATAATCCTATGGTGATCTCCCAATGCCATAAGGAGAAATCTAAACTCTTTGTTGGGTGTTGAAAACTCTCTGGGACCACAGCTTCTGTCCACACTCCAGTTGCATTTCCCTCCTGTGTCACTACAGCCTGCTGCTTGTAGCTTCCCAAACATACTGGTCCATCGGCTACCTCTGTCCAGAACACCTTGGCCCTGTTCTGGGCACTGTTATCAATGAAGCCCAAATAACTCCTTTCCCAAGAAGTGTGCATTATTGCTGCCCCTCCACCACCTCCAGGTTCATTGCACCGCCATTTTGCTTCTATATTACCCCCAGCTTGTGTCTGTCACAGAATATAGCACAATGACTACAGTTATCTGTCCCTATCTATCTTCCCAACCAAACCATGAGTACCTTGAAGGCAGGAGCTGTGGCTTTCCCTCTGTGCCCCCCTACCTGCATAGCACTTGGCATGTATTAAGCATATGTAAGAAATCTGTGAAATAAATTAATGAACAACAGGGTCTGATATACAATAGGTGGTAGACAAATGTATATTGAATGAATGAGTGAATGAGTAAAACTTTCGAGGAGAGAATGGGGAAGAAATATGCAGAGGACAAGAAGATAAAGAACGTAAGAATTACAAGCTTTAGGAGAGCGGAAGCTTCATCTGCTTTGTTTATGTTGCATTCCAGTGTCTAGACTTGGCACACCGTAAAACCAAAAGCCAAACCAGTTGCTGTCAAGTTGATTCTGACTCATAGTGACCCCATGTGTTGTGGAGTAGAACCGCGCTTCATAGGGTTTTCAAGGCTGTGACCTTTCAGAAGCAGAAAGCCAAGCCTTTCTTCTGAGGTACCTCTAGGGGGGTTCAAACCACCAACCTTTCAGTCACTAGTCAAGTGCTTAACCGCCTGCACCACGCGGGGACTCCTGGCATATAATACGAGCTCAGTAAATATTTGTTGACTGACTGAAAATGACTGTAGTAGGTCAAACTCACAACCAATCCGTTTGGTACACACTTGCCAGAGATCGTGCTGTACTTGTTTCTTGTTTGTTCATTTGTGCGTTCATCCAATAAATGTGCACTGAACGTTTACTGGGCCAGCTGCTGGGCTTGGAGCCTAGGGTACCACAGTCACGTGCTATAACGAAAGGTACTCTCTGATATACTCTCTTATGTCAAACTCCTGAGATTAGGAATATCACCTAAAATATGCTACTCCTGTTGATCATATGTTGTAACTCACTTACCAGAATACAAGTATAGAAAAGAAAGGCTCCTTACATTGTGACTGCTGGAATAGGACTTGGCTTTCTCTTCACAGAGCTGGAGCTTCTCTCGAGGAGGGTGGAACAGTGCTGTCTGAGGCAGCTTGTTTTGAATCTTCTTTCGAGGCGTTATGCTGACAGCAGCAACAATTTCATCTAGGTGGTTGGATATGTGGGTTTCCTGTTCTTCTTGCATATTTTTATATACATTGTCCTCTAATTTTTAAATAAAAAAATTAAAAGTGTCAATGATAATATTCAGTTACTTTTAGAAATACACATTTTTTTCTAGAAATTGAGACTATCTAGGAAAACGTCAACACTATACCTATGACTTCTTTTAAATTAGTAGCATTATATTTAAAAAGATCATGGTGGATAGTATTGATTTCTTTGTAAAACTTACAGGCTAATTTCCAGTTTCAACTAAATGATATTCTTGTTTATTTAAAAAATATATATATGTATGAAGGCCAGCAGAAATCAGCAGAGCCCAACTAACTCCCAACAAGCCCAGATGAGATCAGCTGAACTCCAACTGACCCACAGATCCATGAGGAATAAAAATAAATGACTGAAAATAAAATAAAATAAATGATTGTTACACTGTCGCTTCTGGCCAAGATGGACTAATAAGGACCAGATTTATCCTCCTGCCTGAAATAACCGAAAAACAAACAAATAAACCCATAAAATGAAAAACAAGAAAATGCAGAGACCAAAGCTATGAAATAATGGTTTCCAAGACACAAGACATCAAGCAATAACGCAGTGGTTCCTGAGAGAGGGGAATAAAGACAAGGTGCAACCCATGATTACCCCAGCTTATTGCTTTAGATAGTTTCCAGGCTGAGGTGCAGGGAGGGAGAACCTAGAAGGAAGCCACTAAACTATGCAATTTGAGGAAATGAAGCTGAGATTCTGGGGAGACCAAAGTGACTGGAGTTTGCAGGACAGGTTACTGGAGAGAAGAGAGCTGTACAGAGAGAGGATCCCAGGGATTAGCGGAGGGACTCTTCCAATATGGGAGAGAATACTGATGAGAATACTTGTGAGGAAACTACTTGAGAGAAAGAATCATCGAATAGGTATAAAGAGAACAGTGCCTGACATCCACACAGGGATGGCAGTGCCTATCTCCACTAGCCAGACTAGAAAAACTCATAACTCATGGGGAATTGGGTAGAATACTTTAAATGGTTCTATCTCAGTAGTGGGAATAACCAGCCCGAGACTGAGCATTGCTTAGTCCCACCTAACAAATCAGAAAAACAAGACCTAAAAGGGTCAAATTATTTCCAAGTAACTTAACTGCATCAGAGAATACAACTCAAGAATGTTCATAGGAATACAAAAAAGTCAACACGCAAAAGGGTAAAATTCATGATGTCTGGCATCCAATCAAAGATTACCAAGCATGCAAAGAGACAAGAGAACATGCCCCATAATTAGGAAAACAGTTAATCAATCAATTGAAACTGACCCAGAACTGACACAGATGTTAAAATTAGCAGAGAAGGACATTAAAATTGTTATTATAGCTGCATTCCATATGTTTAAAAAGTTAAGTAGAGACATGTGAAAAAAAAGACCCAAATTAAACTTCTAGATATAAACATACTAGATAGGATTAATGGTAGATTAGATATTATAGGTGAAAAGATAAGTGAACTTGAAGACAGCAATAGAAACTATTCAAAATGAAAAAAAAATCAGTGAGCTATGAAACAACTTCAAGTGGCCTACTATATATATAATTGGAGTCTCTAAAGGAGATGAGAGAGGCGCAAAAAATATCTGAAGAAATAATGGTCAAAAACTTTCTAAATTTGAGGAAAAGTCAGAGATCGAACAAGTTCAATGAACACTAAACACAAGAAATGTGAAGAAAATGACACCAAGGCATACCATAATCTAATTGCTCAAAACTATAATACAGAGAAACTCTTACAAGTAGCCAGAGGAAAAAAGACACATTAGGTACAAAGGAATAATGATAAAGTTCCAGCAGACTGCCTGGAGGAAGCAAGCACACAAGAAAAGCATGGAGCAATATCTTTAAAGTAGAGAAGGAAAAGTTACCAACCTAAAAGTTTATGCTGGTGAAAATATCTTTCTAAAACAAAAGCTGAAAGAATTTTTCATCAGAAAACTTGCACTACAATGTTCTCAAGGAAATGTTAAAGGAAGACTTCCAGGTGGAAGGAAAATTATAGCAAATGGAAATTGAGATCTACACAAAATAATAAACAGTGGGAATGGTAACTACATGGGCAAATATATAAGATTGTTTTCATATTATTTAAATAGCTTTAAAAGATCATTGACTGTTTAAAAAAAATAATGTATTTTGGGGTTTATAACACGTGTATGGAGCCAGGTGGTGCAGTGGTTAAGAGCTTGGCTGCTAACCAAAAGGTCAGCAGTTCGAATCCACCAGCTGGTCCTTGGAAACCCTATGGGGCAGTTCTACTTTGGCCTATAGGGTCGCTATGAGTTGGAATCTACTTGATGGTAACTGGTTTGATTTTTTTTTTCTTTCAGTTTTATACTCTAGGTAAGGGAGCCCTGGTGGCACAGTGGTTAAGCACTCAGCTGCTAACCTAAATGTTGGCAGTTTGAATCCATCAGCCACTCCTTGGAAACCCTATGGGGCAGCTCTATTCTGTCCTATAGGGTCACTATGAGTTGGAATCAGCTCAACGGCAACGGGTATGGTTTTTTTGGAACAGAAAAAGCCTAGGTTGTCTCGAAGAGAATGTTGATAGAACTAAGGATGTCAAAGGCAATTCTGGTGAAGGTTCAGAAAGAAGTGAGGAAAGCTGTACAAAAAGCCTCTATTGTCTTAGAGAATACATATGGCTCCAGTAGCGGAATGTTGCTAGAAATGAGGCTTTAAAAGAAAACGATGAACATGTGATGGGACAATGGAGCAAGGGTGATCTTTTTATGCAGTGGCAAAGAACTCGTCTGAATTATGTTCAAATGTCTGTTGAAAGGTAGAACTTGTAAGTGACGAACTTGGATATCTGGCTGATATGATTTCTAATCAAGATCTTACAGGGGTCATGTGGTTTCTTCTTGCCACTTAAAGCAAAATGCAAGAGGAAAGAGATGGACTTAAAAATGAACTGTGTAAAATGAAAACAAAACTGTTAAAGATTTGGAAAATCCTTTATACAAACTAAGGACACATGTCCTAGAATGTTCACCAAGGATGTGGCTACACAATCTTTTGTTAAAGAGATTAAGCCTGTGACTTATGGATATAACCAACTACCATAGCAGAAAACACATCTGTTTAGACTGACGTGGACAGAGAAAGAACCAAAGGAAAGAATGCTGTCTGCCTCTTGGAATTCTACAGGCAGGAAACAGACCAAAGGAGCTACATCTGTTGTCCTCCAAGAAAAGAAAAGGACTATTCCTGGAGCACCTCAGAGATCTGCAGAATTGCTGGAAGAAGCATGGGAAGCAGGACCTTCTTGGTTTCAAAGGGTGGAGCCACAGTTTCCTGCTTCTTAAAGGGTGGGGCCCAGCCTCCTAGGTTTCAAGGAGTTGCATCTTCGCCAACTCGGTTCAGGACTGTGGGGCTGCCATTAAGGTGAGCCAGGGGGATGGGGCCACCACTGAAAGCTGAGGGGTGGGGCTGCTATTTCCAAGGGGCAGTGGGACTAGGAGAATGGGCCTGCCTAAAGCTGAGGGAGCAGAGTTGCTATCCCAGAGGGCCTGGAAAGTTGAGCTGAAGCCCAGGGCCAAGGGGCCTCCACCCAGAATCCAGAGGGCATGGTCAACACTCAGAGTCCGGAAAACGGGGCTGTTGCCCAGATGGTCCCAAAGAAAAGAGGATTATTTTCAAGCCTTGAGAGCTAATGTAATTTGTTCTGCTGGATTCTGGACTTGCTTGGTGCCTGTTATCCCATCTTTCCCTCCAACTTCTCCCGTTTGTAATGGCAATGTCTACCTTCTGCCTGTTCCACCGTTGTACTTTGGAAGCAGATAACTTGTATTCTAGATTTCATTTTCAGAGATGAAGAGGAACTTTGTTCCAGGATGGGATACGCCTAAAGTCTCATCCATATTTGATTTAGATGGTTCAGAAGATGAGGTTTTGTACTTCAAGTTGATTTAAGACTTTGGGATGATGCGATGGGGTGGATGTGTTTTGCATGTGGCAAAGACATGAATGGGGGGGACAAATGGTGGAATGTTATGGATTGAATTATGTCCCCCAAAAACATGCACTGTAAATCCTAACCTCTGTGCCTGTGGTTTTTATCCCATTTGGAAATGGTTTGTCTTTGTTATGTTAATTAGGCTGGATTAGTGTAGGGTGTATTTTGAGTCAATCTCTCTTGAGATATAAAAGAGATTAAACAAGCAGCATAGACAGGGGAAGAGAGATGCCAAGCCACATGAAGATCTTTAGGGAACCAGGAAACAAGCTAAAAGGACAAGGACCTTTCCCCAGAGCTGACAGAGACAGAAAGCCTTCCCCTACAGTCGGTGCCCTGAATTCGGGCTTTTAGCCTCCTAAACTGTGAGAAAATAAAATTCTGTTTGTTAAAGCCACCCACTTGCAGTATTTCTGTTATAGCAGCACTAGATAACTAAGATAGATGTACTCTTAGGGGCACTTACTTTGAGCCACACGCTTATCATCAGCCACTTTTCTTTTCTTAGTAATAGCCATAGCTGGGGCTTAAATTCTCATTAGATATCAGCCCAGACCCCACCCACCACCCTCTTCCCTGCCAGTCTTGGGTTTGGCTTCCCAGACCTCTCAATCAGTGCCCACAACTGCCGGTCAGACATACCCAATCAATTGATGCTATTCCTTTGCCAGACCTGCCCAGTAGAATGCTGAATCACATGATCATCCTCAGATCAAGGTGAGAGGAAGAAGAGGTCTGAAGTGGGGTCTCAGTCTCCCATTTCTAGGGGGCGATGCTCAAAATATTTAATAACTGGTATAGCTGAGGGGTGGTCACCAATCTGTATGGGTGACGACTATGCTGGAGCTGGGTTCTGAAGGCCCCTTACAGATCCAGGTGTTAAACCTTTCGGTATTAATTTGTGGGGAGACCTAGGGGGCCTGTGGGAGGAGCAGGGGCTTGTTAGGAAATAGCAAACTTTATGACTGTATGAGAGTGTGCTAGTTAAATATTGGCCCAAATGTAAGCTGAAGTATCAAAA